TTTCAAATACAGAAATTATTGGTTCAAATACAATTTATTTAATTCAAATAAAAATTATTTGATTCAAATAAATATTCATTTGATAATACTCAAGTAATCGAGTATTTGAATCAAATACATTTTGTTTTTTCAGTGTATATTAATTTTAGAATTTGCTTTAATTTAATGCACAAATTTCTTTTATTTAAAGAAAATTTTCTTTTGAATCAGGAAATTTATCTTTGAATTAGACAAATTTTCTTTGAATCCAAAGAAATTGGTTTCTTTAAATCAAAGAAATCTTTTTTCAGACACATATTTCCAAATTTAGAATGTAATTTTTTTCAAATACAGAAATTATTGGTTCAAATACAATTTATTTAATTCAAATAAAAATTATTTGGTTCAAATAAATATTTATTTAATAATACTCAAGTAATCGAGTATTTGAATCAAATAAATTTTTTTTTTCAGTGTATATTAATTTTAGAATTTGCTTTGATTTAATGCACAAATTTCTTTTATTTAAAGAAAATTTTCTTTTGAATCAGGAAATTTATCTTTGAATTAGATAAATTTTCTTTGAAACCAAAGAAATTGGTTTCTTTAATTCAAAGAAATCTTTTTTTTGACACATATTTCCAAATTTAGAATGTAATTTTTTTCAGTGTAAAATTACAACTCAGCCGATATTTAATATAATTTTTCAGCTTTCAAACTAATTTTTGGTATTTTTTTAATTATATAATTTACAATATATTCTAGTTTCTGTCATATTGTACGAAAATGTAAATATTCTAATTTCTATCATATAAAATATAGAATTTTTTTTTTTTTAAATTAATTTCAGATATACATAAATATATATGTATTTGTATATCCAATATTGATGATTCCAAATTTAATATTGGAGGAGTTTCAAAATAGCGTTGAACTCGCACGTGTAAGCGTTTTAAGCCGCGGTAGGAAAAAAAAAAAAAAAAAAAAATTAAGAAATATTACGGAGGCGCAGTTCGTAGAAGTCATATTGTCGTTCAAGGTCAATTTCAACGGCCATTCACATATACGTCAGAATTAGTAGGGAACCACTTCGGCAGAACGTTAGACCTTCATTTTGTGAATAAAGCAGATGGCATAAGAAGAGAGAGAGAGAGAGAGAGAGAGAGAGAGAGAGAGAGAGAGAGAGAGAGAGAGAGAGAGAGAGAGAGAGAGAGAGAGAGAGAAATATATATATATAATACGTTAGATATACAAAAAAGAAAAAATTTTCGAAAATTTTCCTCAAAAATTCTTTGTCAAACATTTTTTGAAAAAAATAATAAAAAATTACGAATAATTAATTTTTTTTTTCTTTCTCTCTTTGTATTTAAAAATACACGCGCACAAGTGTGCAGTGCGTGTAACTATATGTTGCTTAGTCAGAGATCTTTTTTCCGGGGCATGTGAAGGAGATATATTTATGGGTTAATTTATTTTTTTGTAAAGGATGTTGCGTCACTTTATATATAGAGACCGATTCCGTGTGTGAAAAGAGTCGAGGAATAAATTACCTCCTATCTAGAGAGACATTGAACCTATCGCAGTTATTATGATACAACACATAATATGTAATTTCGAAACTTTCAAAAAAAAAAAAATTAAGATGCAACTTATTTTATTTCCCCAAAAAAAAAAAATTTACAACTAAATTGTCACTAAAATCAATAATTAAAAACCATCAAAAATTATAATTAAATTTTATAATTAAATTAATAATTAATTAAATTGTAATAAAATTAATAATAAATTAAATTGTAGTAAAATTAATAATTAAATTAAATTATAATACAAATTACAACAATTGTTTATAATTTTTTTAATATAATTAATTTTATTATAATTTAATAATTATATATATTATTCAATTAATTAATATTTAATTATTGTGCCTGCAATTGCAAGAAAAATTTTTTTTTAAAAAAAAGTCCTGGAACTATTTTTTTTTTTTTTATATTTACTTTATTTAACATGCAAATGATAAATGCAAAGATTCGAAAGCATCCGTTTTGGTAATGTGAAACTTGCCGGATGAATTAGCGAGTTAGTCTGCCAAGTCAAAATGGTTAGTGAGCGCGCAAGATTGGCACGATAACGAGGCAAAAGAACGACGTGTTTACCCGATAATAAAGTATATACCAAACTTATAACTTTCATGCAAAATCCCTTTTTTTTCTTCCAAATTTTTTTTTTTTTTTTTAAATTATACAATATTTTTACGACAAAAAATAAATTTCCACTTTTTTTTGAAATAAAGAAAATTAAAATTTACAATTGTAAAAAAAATAAACAAATAAAAATTTACAATTGTAAAAAAATAAACAAATAAATAAAAATTTACAATTGTAAAAAAAATAAACAAATAAATAAAAAATTTACAATGATAAAAAAACAAAAAAAAAATAAGTAAATAAAAATTTACAATGGGGAAAAAAAATTTAATTTAAAAATTTTGAAATAAAAAAAATATTTTTTGTTCTCAAAATACATGAATGCACTCTTTAAGATGCTGCATCAGTTGACAATGATATTGTCTCGATCAATAATACCGTTATAATGCACAAAAGCTTCCTGTCTCATCGATTATTCAATGAATATACTTGAAATCATAAAATTCACCGCAGTAAATAAAAATACAAAGAGTACATTGCACTTTGTTCCCTTCTTTTTTTTCATTCAATAATAACAATTTATTATTTTACTAAATTATTTATTTCAATTTTCAAAAAATGTGGAAAAAAGAAATTTTCACTTTGTCAATAATTAATATAATAAATAAATTAATGAAAATTAATTTAATATAATTTATTAATTAATTTTTAACTTAATTAATAACAAATAAATTAATAATACAATTTAATGTTAATTAATATTAATTAATTTAATACAATTATTAATTGTTTATTTTGTTTGATTATTCATTTAATAATAATTTAGTAAAATTTACCAAACAGAATATTATTTCTTTTAATGAATTATTTTTTTTTTAAATTCAAAATTAATCAATTTAAGAAGAAAATTTTATTTATTATGAGATTGTGTCTGAATTGGAAACTGAAAAAAAAAGATTTTTTAACGTCTCGTTTAATGACCTCCAAGTGTCAGTTAACATTTCAAATGTAATATGAAAGCACTATTATTTTGCTTACGCGAACGAGAAACGTAGGGTTAAAGACATGATTAGGTTTCCGACATACGTGCGATAAGCGTTCTTGATCTCAACGAAATATCACAAAGTCTTCTCCTGTGATCTCAAAGTAACCAAGTTTTTTTTTTTTTTCTTTCTTTTTAATACCAGAAGATCTAATGATAAAATAAAAAAATATTGTGTAACCACAACTATATCTCAAGATATATAAAAACTATTTTTTACATTCCACTCACGTCTATATAGTATAATACTATAGAATTATTTTTATTTTCAAATTTATTAAAATTCATCTTTTATTCAGAATCAAGTTTATTTTCATGTAATACTAAAATTTTGGTTTTTTTTTTTAATCGGAAAAAAAATGTTTCACTCTTTATATGATACTAATTAAACAGCTAAATTTATTAATAAATTATTGAAAATTATTTATAATTAATTATTTATTTAAATTATTAATAATAATAATTTTAATAATTTACAATAATTTAATAACTAATTTATAATTAACTTTATTTTAATATTTTATTAAAACTTTATTAAAATTATTTATAATAATTAAATAGTTTTTTTTTACCGGAAAAAAATGTTTCACTCTTTATATGATACTAATTAAACAGCTAAATTTATTAATAAATTATTGAAATTATTTATAATTAATTATTTATTTAAATTATTTATAATTACCTAATTATTTATTTAAATTATTAATAATAATAATTTTAATAATTTACAATAATTTAATAACTAATTTATTATTAACTTTATTTTAATATTTTATTAAAACTTTATTAAAATTATTTATTATAATAATTAAATAGTTGAGTGTCTTGTGATCCAAAGTTGTAATTTGTGATATGATTATAATTTTTATAAAAATTAGTAAATATTAAGAAAACAATTTTTTTATTTTTCAGAAAATATTTTTTTTTCAAATTAAAATTTTTTTTTATTGGAATAGCAGAATTTATTGAAAATTTTACCATTAGCTAATTCGTCGAAAATTTAACTCAGTTAATAAACTAGAGAAATTAATTTCATTTGGAATCAATGAAAATTGAGAAAATTTCATTGAAATCAAAAAAGTAAACAAAAATATTTTGATTCGACATCATTCATTATTAAATTAATTTTAATTAAATACAATATTGTACCTCGAGGGGGGGAAAAAAAACAATGATTTTAAATTTCCTCATGAAAAGATGGGAAAAATTTTATGTTAAATTAAAATAAAATAATTAGCAAAAATTAAGCGAATTAAAAATAAGAAATTAAAAAAGAAAAATAAATAAATTATACCGAAATAGAAGATAAATAATTAATAACTAATTAATAAATAATAAATGGTAAATAATAAATAATTAATAAATAACAAATAATAAATAATTAATAATAATTAATAAAGAAATAATAATATTTTATTAATTAATTGATAATTACTTAATAATTTATTAATAATTTTAAATAATTTATTTAGAAAATTGAAAGTATAGAAAATAGAAAAGTAAAGAAAATTAAATAATTTTTATAATAATAATATTATTATTATTAATTTAAATTACAGATTCCTTTACCTCATTTTTTATATATTCAATTTTTTTAAAAAATTAATTTCACTTTTTTAAAATATATTTTTAATTACTTTATAAAGAAAAAAGAAAAACTTGAACAAAGTAAATTTGGAATATACAGCAAAGAAATTGGGAATAAATAAATATTAAGAAAACTGGTTTTTCGACCTCTACGATGAACAAGTCAAAAGGAAGAAGTGAATGGACTTATAATTAGATATATATAATTAACATATACATATATATATATATATATAGGAACTCACACGTAAGGCAACACCGGTTGTAGTTGTATATGTGGTGCGCTAACGTAAACCGGGAAGACACAATGCGAATACATGTAGAGATCAAGACTTGAAACAACAATAACAAAATTTACAATGAAAATTATTGTCCTTCTTCATTGCCAACGAGCAAGATTGATATGATCGTTTTTCATGTGACGCATCGCACACTCGAATAAACGTTTAAGAATTTCAAAACTTTATATATATATATATGTATAACACACATATATATATATTTATTATAAAAGTCTAATATACAATTTATACAGTCGAACTTTGGTCCTTCTCACAATATACATTTATATATATATAGAGAGAGAGAGAATAAAGAGTTTGTAAACAAATTCCGAACTTTCCCGAAAATTCAAATCGTTTAAAAATTTTCCGTTATAAACTTTTTTTTTTGTCCAAACAAAAAAAAAAAACAGAAAAGAAAAATATTGTTCACCTCTTTTTCACTTTTTTTTTCTCCATTTGTTTTTACACTTTTTATCACATTTTTTTTTTAATTAATTTTAATGCACTATTTATTATAACGATTATTAATTTTTGTTAATTAATAATTATTGTTAGACAAGAAATTTAAAAAAAAAAAATTAAAATTATATGAATAACTGTAAATGAAAAATAATTACGAATCATTGCTTGGCAAATATAAATCAAATTATAAATAATAATAAAAATATTAATAATAATAATAATAATAATAATAATAATAATAATAATAATTATTATTATTATAATTATATTATATAGTAAATATTATAATATAATAATAATTAAATGGTTTATTTCGAATTCATAACGAATAATAATTATTAATTAAATTATTCCTAATAGTTTAATTATAATTATAATATTGTTAACTTATTAAAAAAAAGGAGATAGATAATAACAACAACAATAATAATTATTACAATTATAATAATAATAATAATAGAGATAAAAATAATCAAAAATTTTCTATTAATTATTTATAAAATTAATGTTTATTAAAAATTATTATAATTTCACGAATATTAAATTGCAAATAACATTTCTTCCAAAAACAATAAAAAAAAAAACATTTCTCGGAACGTGTCTATAATAAAATTCAGCGTAAATACGCGAAATCTTTCCTCCTAATCTATAAAAGATAAAATAAAAAAATGTAAGTCAAAATTAATTAAGAGGCATTCAATTGAAAAACGTTTATAAATTTTTTAAATTTTCTTATTTTCATAAATTATGAAAATTCAAATGTTTATTAAAAATACAAACAGTCTAATTACGCAATTGTGGTAAATATAAAAATATAATTATATAATGGAAATAAAATCTGTAAATAAAAAAAAAAATTGTTAACCAATTTAAAATAAATTATTATTAACATCTTTTAAAACTTTAGAAAACATTATTAATATTTGTTATTATTGTTTTAGTAATACTAAAAATAATAATAATTATTATTATTATTCTACTTTAAAATATATTTTTATTATTATAATAATTATTATTGTTTCATTTTTTGGAACATGAATTAAATTTTCTCAATTGGATAATTAAAAAAATTAATTGGAAAGTTTTGTTTTATTTTTTAAGTCACAGCACTTGTAACGAAAACAAGAAAACCACGTGTGTCATTGTAATTAATCAAAGGATGATAGAGAAAATTTTGCAAATTTTTTGTAAAAAAATAAAAAGAAAATGTTAATTAATTTTTTCTTTTTTTGCGAGCAAAATAAAAGAATAAATTAATAATAAATTGTTTAAATAAGGAAAAAAAAACTGTCAAGAAAAATTGTGATAAGTGTAAATACAGAGAGAGAGAGAGAGAGAGAGAGAGAAAGAGTCGTCTGACTCGTGCACGCACTAACTACTTTACGTCTCGTCGCGAACTGTATGTGAACTGGTGAGTGCAAAATGAAAATGAACCGTCGCCGACGAAATGTATATGTGAGAGAGCTACGAGGCAGCACGATCGGCCCTCACTACATAAATATACACATATATATATTCTATTCCCAAAAACGAATTGCGACGAAGAAACACGAACTGTTTCAAAACTTTGCAAAAAAAAAAAAAAAAAATAGATAAATGAATTTACCCTTAAAATTATAAATTATTATTAGGAAAAATTAAAAATTAATATTATAGAAACTTTTATATTATTATAGAAAATTTCATAATATTATTATAGAAAATTTTATATTAAATATAAAAAAATAAATTTATAAAATAAATTTCCGTGATGTGAAAAATATTTTTTTTCCTCCCCCCAACAAGTGGATAGAATTTTTAAGACAGTCTAATTTTTTTGCTTTTAAATTCGTTAAATTTTACTAATTCGATAGTAAAAGAAATTTTTTTTTTTTTTTACTAAATTAGTAAAAATTTACTAATTCACTAGGAAAATGTTCTTTTACCATTAATTAGTAAAATATACTACTTCAATATTAAAAAAAAGAAAATTATTTATTAATTAGATAAATTTTATTAAATTTACTACTCTGTAAATCTGAATTAATAAAAATTTTAAATAAAAATGAATTTTAGTTGAATTTCACTAATTCGATAGTGAAAAATTTTTTTTTTCTATTAATTAGTTAAATTTTACTAATTCTTAATCAAAAAAAATTTGTCTTACTAGCAATTAATTAAATTTTACTAATTAGATATTAAAAAAAAAAATTTTACAGGGTGTCCAGCAAGAGGTACAAAAAAAATTCTTTGACTTTTCTCTGAAAATCCCTGATTTTTTTCTAATCTTTTTCCAACTTTTTTTTAAATAAATATTTAATAATAAAGAAATGAAAAGTATCAAATACTAAAGTATTTTTAAGATAATAAAAAACATTTTATTTATTAGCATTATAAACTTTTTCTTGTATTGAAAAATTTTTAAAAATTCATAAAAATGTTCATTTTTGGCAAATTTTTAAAAAGTTCCCTGACTTTTAATTTAATTCCCTGACTTTTCCCTGACATCCTGATTTTACCATTAATTAATAAAATTCACTAATTAAATATTTTTTAAAAAAATTGTTTATTAATTAGATAAATTTTGCTAATTTACTATTCTCTAAATCTGAATTAATAAAAATTTTACTAATTCAAATTAGTTAAAAATTTTAATAATTTAGAATTAGTTAGTAGTGAATTAATAAAATTTTAAATTAGTGAAATTTAACTAATAGTAAAAAAAAATTATACTATAAGTAAAATTTTATTGATTCAAATTACTCTCTAAATCTGAATTAGTAAAAATATTTACTAATTTAAATTAGTGATTCACTTTTTGCTTCAGAATTAGTTAAATTTTACTAATTGTTAGTAAAAGTTACTAATAATTAGTAAAATTTCACTAATTTAGAAGCAAAAAGTGAGTCACTAATTCAAATTAGTAAACATTTTTACTAATTCACATTTAGAGAGTAGTTAAAATTGTTATTAATTTAGATTTTGAGAATAGTAAATTAGTAAAATTTGGAATTAATAAAATTTAACAATAATTAGTAGTAAAAAAAAATTTATTCTCGAATTAGTAAAATTCAATTAATTGAAAAACCAAAAGTTACTAATTAATTCAAATGACTTAAAAATTTTACTAATCCAAATTTTAAGAGTAGTAAAATAAAATTGAAATATTAGACAATTATGAAAATTATACAATAGTTTGAATTGATTGAGGAAATAAATGCAATTCTTGCCAAGTTCTTCCAACACCTGTTGCAAAAGAATATGTATATATATATATATATAAAGGTTTTTGCAAGGTCGCCAAGTTGCAAGGTTAGAAATATCCGGAAAATAAATCTTGGAATTTAATGATGGGTCTCTAAATTCGATAAGCCCCTTTCTATCAAGATAAAGAACTCTCTCTATAGATATATAAATCCTTATATTATGTAGTATTAAAAGTCTGCCAATAACCCACATTAACGAATTAAAAAGGTCACGCAACCTAATTTTATACTACTTCCTTTTTTAAAAAAAAAAATTTTTTAATGAAATATAATTTACAAAAAAAAAAATTTTTTTTCACAGCAGATGCAAATAATTTTCGTTTCATTCATTATTTTATTTCAAGAGCTTATCATTATTATTTGATAATATTAAAAAATTTACTAAAAAATATTTACTCTCTAAATCTGAATTAGTAAAAATGATTACTAATTTAAATTACTGACTCACTTTTTGCTTTAGAATTAGTTAAGTTTTACTAATTGTTAGTAAAAGTTACTAATAATTAGTAAAATTTTACTAATTCAGAAGCAAAAAGTGAGTCACTAATTTAAATTAGTAAAATTAGTAAATTTTTACTAATTCAGATTTAGAGAGTAATATTAAAAAAATCTAATATATAAAAAAAATTCAATTTTGAAAAATTTTTTGACAAAATTAATTATTTAAAATACAATCGAGTGATGAACTATTTAGTTTTATTGAATTATTCAAAGTCATTAAAAATTTTGAAATAAAAATGTAAAAACTGACAAAAAGATAAAACGAAATTTCCATTTTTTTGGAAATTTCATTTAGGGTGATTTACAAATGTATTTACACACACATATATATATATATATATATTGGGGAATCATGGATTTTTAGGGAACAAAATTTGGCCCGCCTTTGCATCATAGCGGCAACAGCTGTTGTTGCAGCTGCCACGTGGCGAATAGCCAGCTAGGGTTGTCGAGACGTTTCACATTTTTCTGTGCCGATCTTTTTGTCTACGACTTTTATAGGGCGCGTTTCAAAATCGACTAAAGCTTTTGCAAAGTCACGTTACTACTAAGTCTCAATAAAAAAAAAAAAAAAAAAAAAAAATCATCACTCGATATTGAAATTTGAAAAAACAAAAAAAAAATTAAATACAGAAACCAAAAAAATTTTATTCGTTTAGTGATAAGACTAAACAAAAACATAAATAAAAAATAAATAAAAAATAAATAAAAAATAAATAAAAAATAAATAATAAATAAATAAATAATAATAATAAATAAAAAATTCTACGAATGGAAAAAAGGGGAAAAAATTGATATGACATTAAAAGAAAAATAACTCGGGATTTGAAAGCATATATTATGTCCTTAAAGAAAAATAATAAGGAACATATGAAATTTTGGTAGACATTTGAGCGCACTCTTTTTTAATTTCACGAATGCTTAAACAATTGCACCTTTTTCTTTTAAGAAGACTCGAGTATTTTTGTTGAGAAAAAAAAAGAGAAAAGGATGTAAATCGCATGGAAACCTCGAGTCATTTATGACTTTTTGAGTCTTAATTAGTAATTAAAGACCTACAGGGAAGTACATCCCTCTCGCGATCCCTCTTCAAAGTTGCACCCTCCAAATGTACCTACTTTAAAAATTATTGCAGTACACAAGGGGTTGGGAGGTAGCAGCCTTTCTCTTTATTATTATTATTATTATTATTATTATTTTTCACTCCCACTGGCGTAATCTTTTGGCTATTATATTTTTTAAATTTATCGAAAATAAATTTTTATGCCGTTTTTTATTTTTCTTTATTTTCTTTATTTTATTTTTATTCTTTTCTTTATTCTTAAATGAGTATCGATGAAAAAAATAGCAGTGGGAAATAAAAAAAAACAAAATAAATATAAAAAAAAAATATCTCAATAAAAAAATGAACAAAAAAATAAATACCAAAAAACAATATTAATAAAAAAAATATAAAGAATAAATACCAAAAAATATACAAAGACATAAATAAATACTAAAAGAACAATATTAATAAAAAAAATAGCCAAAGAAAATTAATACAAAAATAAATAAATAAAGTACCAAAAAAAGTCAATAAAAAAACAATATTAATAAAAAAAATAGCCAAAGAAAATTAATACAAAAATAAATAAATAAAGTACCAAAAAAAGTGAATAAAAAAAAATATTAATAAAAAAAATAGCCAAAGAAAATTAATACAAAAATAAATAAATAAAGTACCAAAAAAAGTGAATAAAAAAACAATATTAATAAAAAAAATAGCCAAAAAAAAATTAATACAAAAATATATAAATAAAGTACCAAAAAAAGTCAATAAAAAAATAATATTAATAAAAAATACAAATATCAATAAAAAATATAAAATAAAAAATACCAAAAATTCTTGAGGAAAATTAGTGATGATTTCTACCCTCGCGAGAACAAGAAATAACCCGAGTGAAAAGTGTGCGACAAATATGTAAATGTGAATTTATTTGGCGAATTGTCGCGATGTCAAGGACAAAAGCGCGGTTGCATATAGGGAAAAATATGAAAATTCGAAACTACCTCCCCGTGTCGGATCGTTTCCCTTATTCAAAAAAAAAAAAAAAAAAAAAAAAATTAGCAAATTATGCACATTGCGTATATTATGCATCATGTATAATTGTCATTTCGTATATCGCAAAAAAAATAACTTTTCGTGTCGCCGGTTACATTTTTTTTCCCCCCAAAGAGGATGTCTTGCCATTATTCTTCCTTTTTATCTTCCGCGTTGCAAGCATTTTTAATTCAAAAATAATAATTATTTTTTAATATGGAAAAAAATTATTATTCTCAAAAACGAAAAGAAATAAATAAAAAAATATATCCCTTTGAGTGAAAAAAGTAATTTAAAAAAATGTAGTAAAAAAATAATTAAAAATCAAAATTAAAACAAAAATAATAAAATATAGAAAAATAAAATAAATAATAATTTTCGTTTTGATTTTTATTTAAAGTAGAGGATTTTAAACAGAGCTATTATCGTAAAAGCACTTGTTTAAAATAAAAGGGCATGTCAATGGGTCCTTTAATTTTCTCGGTACTTGGAGGTTGGAGCACTTGGTTTGGATTCTTTTTTTTTCGAGGAGAAGAGAGAAAGAGGAGGGAACTTAACGATCAACGGAATCGACTGCCAAATTTCTCGTTTATTGCCCGGGACGCCAAAGGCATTATATAAACGTTCTTCTCGTTTGACTTGTAACGAGTCCACCAACGACGTATATATATATATATATATAAAGATGCAGAGAAACGAGAAACAATTATTGCTTCTACGCCCGGAGGGAAATCTTTCATTATAAACGCGATTTTAATCAAAAAACAACGATTATCAGATTCCAATTATGTATCAACATTGCCACTGCGGTGTACAATAAAGACAAAAATAATTTTCATTTCCTGTTCCTTTTTCTTTTTACTAGCCGTGATAAATTTTTTTTTTAATTTCAAAAAATTAATTAAATTAATTAATAATTAATCTCTAAAAAAAATTGTTGAATATGATAAAAATTTTGCTAACATAAACTGAAATATTTATTTATCTCAGAGCCAAATAAATTTTTATTTGGTTTAAATAAATTTTTATTTAGTTTAAATAAATTAAAAATTTATATTTCTAAGAACAATATATATTTTTATTTGAGGGAAATAAATTTTATTTTTTCAAATAAATATGCAAATAAACACCTAAAGAATTGTTCTACTTGAACTAAATATATAATTTACTTGATTCTAATAAAAATTCTATTTGTCTCAGAGCCTATATACTAACTCATTTATTTGTTTCAATGAAAAAAATTTTCTTTGACGCAAATATAATATCATATAACGTAAATTTTATATTTGAACCAAATATAATTTAATTGATTTAAATAAAAATATATTTGTCTCAGAGCATACTAACTAAACAATTTATTTTTTTTCAAAGAAAAAATTTTATTTGACGCAAATATAATATTATTTAGCGTAAATAAAATTTATATTTGAATCAAATAAAATATATTTGAAAGAAATAAGAATTTATTTGAAAGAAATAAGAATTTATTTGAAACAAATAAGAATTTATTTGAATCAAATAAAAATTTATTTGAAGCAAATAAAAATCTATTTGAAGCAAATAAAAATTTATTTGAAGCAAATAAAAATCTATTTGAAACAAATAAGAATTTATTTGACTCTGTGACAAATATTATCTTTTTTCTGAATGAAAGATTTTTCTGTGTGTAAACTAAAAATAACCAAAATTTGGCTAAGACAAAAGAGGAAATTTCTTTTTATCAAAAATCAACTAAACAAATATTTTTATTCCCTTATTGAAAAATATCGAGAATTTCGAAAATAGATATATATATAACATTTATATGAGAAAAAAAGTTGATTGGCTCGTCCCTGATTATATACCACCCACGTTGTGTGTAGTACAATTTCCTTGCCTGTAGGTAATTCTTGTTTAACATCACAAGAGAAAAGATAAAGGTATATCATTTTATCAAAACACATATTCGATAAAAAAAAAACATTTTAAAAATCCATTGTCTTCTAAATTACACATTTTTTTCTAATTTTAAATTTAAGAAAAAATTAAATTCTTTCTTTTCTATTAAAAATTCTAATTTTAAATATAAAAAAAAATTAAATTCTTTCTTTTCTATTAAAATTCTAATTTTAAATTTTAAAAAAAAATGTGAAATTCGAATTTTAAATTAAAAAAAAAAATGTCATTTTTTAAAAAAATAATGATTCCAAAAAAAAATAATTTATATAAGGGGAAACTTGATCAAAGGATAAGAGAGAAAGAGAGAGAGATAGAGAGAGAAAAGAAGAGGGAAAAATTGATGGCATTTTCAGAGAGTGAGAGTGAAAGTAAAGGGAGAGAAATAGTGAAGATATTCGTTTGGAAGGATCAAAGAGGGAGGGGGTGGGGGAAAATTACAGATTGTGTGTGTGTGTGTATTCTGTGGAAATAGGGGGTAAACAACACTGCGTTTCAAGAGCGCGAGGGTTGTGTGTGAGGAGGGTAACCTTGACCCGGGGATGAACGACCCTCCTTGATGCGCATGGCACCCCCCTCCCTCCCCACTCTATCCAGGATTTCTGTTTCAACCCCCCCCTTTCTTACCCCACCCCCACCACCTTCACAATCCAACCCCCGATTTTCTAACCCTCCCGGAAAAAAAAACCACCACCGTTTCCCTTTCTTCCAACAACCACCCACACCTACAGGGACAACGCATCACCCCTCTACCCCAACCATCCCTCACTCTTTCCATTTCCCTTTAACTAACTGCGAATCCACTGCACTTTCGTTTCGTGCTCACAAGAGAGCTTATACCCCAAAAAATAAAATAAGGGTACATAATAAAAGGGGTATATATATATATTTTTTTTTTTTTTTGTTTGTGTTTAAAAAAGCAGAACCTCCTTTAGTTTCGTATTTTTGTTTTAGAAGGAGAGAGAAAGAAAAGGGCAATTAACCTTTTTTTTTAGTACGACTAAAAATTTACCAATTCAAAGTTATTTGGAAAATTTTTCCCAAAAAAAAAGAAAGTTTAATTTTTTATATGAAATTAAAAAAAAATTTTCAAGTGGCAATTTCAGAAAAAAATATGATATAAGTATTTTAAAAAGGGCATAAATATGTCGAATTTTCAGAGGGGGAGGGAGAATTGATATCTTATAGAGTAAAACTCACCATGATATACAGCGTAAAAAAAAATTATGGATGTAATATATTCTCACCTGAAACAGAAAATTTTTTTTTGCTTAATTAGTATCGAAGTATTAGAAATAATTTGGAGAAAAAAAAAATATTAAATTTTTTTTTTAAATTATGTTGGTAATTGGAAAATAATTATGAGTTAAATAATACATGATAAATGATAATAATAATAATAATAATAATAATAATAATAATAATAATAATAATAATAAATAAATAATAAAGAATTGTAAATCGTACAATATTTAGAAATTGTAAAAATTACAATACGTATTGTAAATAGTATAATCTGTATTGCAAAATGTACAATCCGTACTGCAAATGGTACGATATGTATTGTAAAACGTACAATAAGTATTGTAAAAATTACAATATGTATGGTAAGTAGTTCACTATATATTTTAAATATCCTACAATATATATATTGTAAATAATACAATCTGTATTGCAAAAAAAAAATACAATTTGTATTGTAAATAGTACAATCTGTATTGTAAATAGTACAATCTGTATTGTAAAAAATATAATCTGTATTGCAAATAGTACAAACTGTTCTGCAAATGGTACAATTTGTATTGTAAAAATTATTATCTGTTCTGCAAATGGTACAATCTGTATTGTAAAAATTATTATTTGTTCTGCAAATGGTACAATCTGTATTGCAAAAATTACAATCTGTATGGTAAAAATTACAATCTGTATTGCAAATGGTACTCTCTAAATCTGAATTAGTAAAAATGTTTACTAATTTAAATTAGTGACTCACTTTTTGCTTTAGAATTAGTTAAATTTTACTAATTGTTGGTAAATGTTACTAATAATTAGTAAAATTTTACTGATTCAGAAGCAAACAGTGAGTCACTAATTTACTCTCTAAATCTGAATCAGTCATATTTTACTAATTAGCAGTAGAAATCTACTAATTGACATAGCGAGAATTGAGCAACTGACAATTAGTAGAAATTTACACTGAAAAAAAAAATTCTGGTTAGGCTATATTTAACATTACTTTCTAGTTATGTTAACCAGAATTCTAGTTGAAGTAACTAGAATTCTCGTTAAAATAACCAGAATTCTGGTTAACCTAACCAGAATCAAAATGTTAAATATATCCTAACCAGAATTCTGGTTATTCTAACTAGAATTTTTTTCAGTGTACTGATTCAATTAGTAAAATATCAATTACTGATTGAATCAGTAATACAAATATATGGCGGCGGCCACAAAATTTACTGATTTAATAGTTGATTTTAAAGGTTATGTTATATACAAATTACTAATTTACATAAGTTATTTTCTATTGCTTGCTTATTCACTTATTATATTAGTAAATTTTCAAAAAATAACTGAAACTTCAGTTAAAATGAAAAGCACTGATTGAATTAGTAAAATTTCTACTGATTCAGATTTAGAGAGCAAATTAGTAAACTTTTTCACTAATTCAGATTTAGAAAGTACAATCTGTATTGTAAAAAGTACAATCTGTACTGTAATAATTACAATTTGTACTGCAAATGGTATAATATGTATTGTAAAAAGTACAATATGTATTGTAAATATTACAATACCAGTTACAACACTATATTGCTGTATGTATTGTACAAAATCGTACAATGTGTATAGTAAATTTTACAATATATATGATAAGTAGTTCAATATGTATTTTAAATCCCATAGTGTATATTGTAAATTCTACAATATATATATTAAAATTCTACAACATGTATTGTAAATCTTACAGTACGTATTGTAAATAGTCCAATACCTGTTGCAAATAGTCAATTCTGCATTGTAAATTCTACAAATGTATTGTAAATTCCCTTATCCATCAATCTCAATAAAATCAAACCTAAATATGCGTGACCAAAGGCAAATAAAGCAATATATAAATAATGACAATTTGAAATCGCCAATCACGAATAACCGGATGCGGATACTTCGAAAATATATATATATATATATATATATACGTATCCAATGTTCGCCAACACCTATAATAACATATTTGAACACGTATCCAATAGCGGATAATGATAGTGATGATAGTCTAGATTAAAGAACGTTTCTATGATATATATAATTTGCCACGTTTACCGAGGAGAGAAGAACTTTTTGAACCACTTTTTTTTTCTTTTTTTTTTAAAGTTGTGTGGAGGTTCGATTCGAGGTCGTGTGTGTGTGTGATCATGATCAGGACAAAAGTGGAACTCTGACGCCAAAAAGAACTTGTGTATCCTAAGCGCAGGAGCTAAAAATAAGAAGAGAATTCTGACATTCCTCAATATAGGCCTTCTCTCACGATACGATTTTTTTTCACCTACCCTCTCTTTCTCTCTCTTTTTTTTCAAACATGTGTATCTTTGTCGTGACTAACACATAAACGACAGGTATATAGTTTTTAGAAGTTTTCGACTTTTTAAAGGTTCGCGTTTATTCGCGGTAAATGCGATACACGACCCACAACGCCTGCGCTTAAAGGAAACAAGGCCTGCTCCTTCTAGGAAACTCACATGGGTCTGCGGTCAAATTATTTATGGCGATGCGAAATTAAGAGTTTCGCTCCGTTTGAGGAGAGCCGATCGGCTTGATTTTTGCGTCCTTGGTTATATATATATATATATATGTATCGGCATCGTCAGAAACTTTCTTTATATTTTCTTTTTTAAACTTAAAAAAAAAAAAGAATCGTAAGAAAATTGAATGTATCACTGAGAAAATTAGTCAGAGCCACCAAAATTTAGTTGAGCCTACAAAAGAATTTTCTGTGTGTTTGAGTTAACCAAAAAATTTGGTTCAGTGTTTTTTGTTGGCATAACAAAAATATTAGGTTAGCAAAACCAAATTTTTTTTGTTAGGTCAACAAAAATGTTTGGTTAGCAAAACCAAATTTTTTTTGTTAGGTCAACAAAAATGTTTGGTTCGCAAAACCAAATTTTTTTTGGTAGGTCAACAAAAATGTTTGGTTAGCAAAACCAAATTTTTTTTTGTTAGGTCAACAAAAATGTTTGGTTGATCAAATAAATTTTTTTCGCCTAATCAAATGTTTCGTTGAGATAACTTTGTTTCAAACCAAAATTTGGTGACAAGAATCAAAATTGACCAAACGATTTTGTTGCAAACACAAAATCATTTTTTGTTTTCAATGCGATAGGAAATCTTTCAATTTTTGTCAAAAAATTGAACAAAAATTGTTAATTTAATGTGTAAAATATTGATTAAAAGGGTAATTAATTAAAAATGATGCGAATCTTTATCTTATCTTTTTTTTTTATTTCATATATATGTAGTTCCGACCTTTTTGCCACTCTCTTTCCTCTTTTCTCGCCATCCTCGTTTTTCCTCCCACTGTTAGTTCATGTCGTCCCTTCCTTTCGTATATAGTCCCAGAAAATAATCAATACTTTTAGAAGGTGCGTGGGTGAAGTAACACGCCTGTCTGTGGCAAACCCTGTGAATCGTGAAATTCACAGACCAAATATATATATATAAATTTCCTTGCATTTCCGGTTCTTAAAATCTCAAAAAAAAAAAAAATAATTCTCCTTCTATTCTAAATTTCCGAATCTTCATTTGTCCGAATTTTTATTCGCTTCGAATTGTTATTTTATTAAATTCTTAAAATGAATCACTTAAAATTCTGTTAAATTAAAATTCGGTTAAATTAGAATTCTTTTCCATAAAAATTTGGATAAAGAAGCAATTCTGCCAATTAAAAATTTGGCTTGTAAAAAATTTTGAATTTTTATTTACTTCAAACTAAGAATTTGATTAAATTCTTAAAACAACGAATTTTCATTTATCAAAAATTGAAAATGATCGAATAAATAATTAACAGAATTTGAATCATCGAAGATTCTGCTGAATGAGAATTCTGCTAAATTAAAATTCGATTAAATTAGAATTCTTTTCCATAAGAATTTGGGTAATTAAAAATTATAGGCTTTAAGATAAATATATTTTTATTTGCTGTAAATAAATTTTTTCTGTTTTAAATAAAAGCAAATAAAAAAAATTTCTTTTGGTGTATATAAACCCTGTCAGACGCCTATTTCATTATTCTTCTTCTCGCCTTATATTCTAAATGATAATACTCTTGTCTATATAAATTGCAATAATCGAATTTCGCGAATATGTAACAGAAACGAAATGATAGTAAAAAAAAAAAAAAGAAGAAGGATACCTAATTCTCTCCGAGCAGTCGAATATATATGTATTTATTAATTAAATTTTAAATACACATGTTTTCATTTACAAAAGGACGCATATTCATTTTGAAGAGAAAGTACTCGCGAATATATATATATACATGAATTTATAGAAATCGTCGATTTGATTTCCGTTTCGCGAGCAAATCCCCGAGACGGGAACATACATATATATACATTTTACAAAAGCTTAAGTCACCGAGATGAAAGTTCTTCTGTTGGGAAATTTAATTAAAATTTCGTCCACTCACTAGACCGGCGTCGTTTTCCTATTGGTCCGATTATAATATAGAAAACGTTCGAATATATATTAAGATAAAGATGACAATATATATATATATATGTATTATATTTAATAGAATTATTATTAGTGACACTTTTGTCATTCACATTCAGTTTCCACTGCAGAATATTTTCATTACAAAAATTATTTTCAAAAAAAATATTTCGTTAACGAAAAAGAAAATTGTTTTTTTTTAAATTTCTTTATATGTAAAAATAATGGATGAAAAAAGGGGTATAGCTAATTATTATAATCCATTAAGATAAAACTTGAGCTAAATGCTCAGCTCAGCGTGTAGACATTTATAAAGAATTCTCTTCTACGAAATGATTGGGTAACTAAGAAAGGCCTGACCAAGGTGCAAAAGACACTCACTCTTAAAAGATAATAAGATAATAAATGAGATACGTCAACGTACTCAAATTAAGAATATATATATAAAATGGAGGGATAAACATCAATTTAATGGGCAAAATTACTAATCGACTAATAATTAGGTGTAAAATACAAAAAAGACAAACGATATAATCGG